AAGTGCCTCTGATTAATCCCAAATAAAGTTCAACTGTTCTAGTAGATCTTTCCTGGCATATTCTTAGTTGCATCCTACAGCAAAAGCCATGGTCCGCAGAGAGCATCCAAAGCATCAGAGGGATCTCATTGGTAAAAGGTATCAGTCAGGTGAAGGGTACAAAGAATTTCTAAGGCATTAGATATACCATGGAACACAGTGCAGACAGTCATCATCAAGTGGAGAAAATATGGCGCAACAGTGACATTACCAAAAACTGGACGTCTCTCAAAAATTGATGAAAAGACGAGAAGAAAATTTGGTCTGGGAGGCTGCCAAGAGGCCTACAGCAACATTAAAGGAGCTGCAGGAATATCTGGCAAGTACTGGCTGTGTGGTACATGTGACCACAATCTTTCGTATTCTTCATATGTCTGGGCTATGGGGTAGAGTGGCAAGACAGAAGCCTTTTCTTAGAAAAACATCCAAGCCCGGATAAATTTTGCAAAAACACATCTGAAGTCTCCCAAAAGCATGTGGGAAAAATGTGTTATGGTCTGATGAAACCAGGCTTGAACTTTTTGGCCATAATTCCAAAAGATATGTTTGCAACAAAAACAACACTGCACATCACCAAAAAAGAATACCATACCCACAGTGAAGCATGGTGGTGGCAGCATCATGCTTTTGGTGCTGTTTTTCTTCAGCTGGAACTGGGGCCTTACTCAAGGTAGAGGGAATTATGAACAGTTCCAAATACCAGTCAATATTGGCACAAAACCTTCAGGCTTCTGCTAGAAAGCTGAACATGAAGAGGAAATTCATCTTTCAGCATGACAATGACCCAAAGCATACATCCAAATCAACAAAAGAATGTTTTCACCAGAAGAAGATGAAAGTTTTGGAATGGCCCAGCCAGAGCCCAGACCTGAATCCGATCGATAATCTGTGGGGTGATCTGAAGAGGGCTGTGCACAGGAGATGTCCTCGCAATCTGACAGATTTGGAGTGTTTTTGCAAGGAAGCGTAGGCAAATATTGCCAAGTTAAGATGTGCCATGCTGATAGACTCATACCCAAAAAGACTGAGTGCTGGAATCAAATCAAAAGGTGCTTTAACAAAGTATTCATTTAAGGGTGTGCACACTTATGCAACCATATTATTATTTTAGTTTTTTATTTGTACTTCCCTCCACTTAAAAGATTTCAGTTTGTTGTTCAACTGAGTTGTACAATTTATAGGTTGCATTAAAGGTGGAAAAAGTTCTGAAATTAATTTCTTTGTCTCATTTTTTTACATCACAGAAACCTGACATTTTAACGGGTGTGCAGACTTTTTATATCCACTGTAGATATCCAGCATGATATTTTCCCCATTGAGATCTAATGTGTTTTCAAAGTGTTCCTTTAATTTTTTTGAGCAATGTATAATTGGAAGAGAGTTGAGAGTAGTGTGGCTACATATGCAGATACTAGTACTTGCGTTCTGGCTTGAGTATGAAGATGGGACAGCCTTTGTGAATTTTTTTTTTTTTTTTTAAGTAAGCATTCAGAGTTGACGTTTAGGGAGTTGCACAGTATGATTGTTTGTGTTGCTCATTGTGAAGCACCTATTCATTGGATTCTGGCTGGGTGGGGTAGGACAGTTCTTGGTATTGATATTACTTGTGCCAGAATGAAATACGTAACCTTTCTGCTTTACAGATCAGAGTGTTTACTGATGTGATCATCGCACTCTGGAATATGGTGTTGCTCAAGTTTGCATTATGTAAAGTATATCTCCTAGATGTATTTTTTTTTTTTTTTCTGGTATGATGACAGAAAGTGAGAAGCAATCTCCCTAGCCAGGATACAGAAGTAAATTCACAGTTTTACCTCTATCCCACTCACAAAGAGCTTTGGCTAGAGTATCAGTTCAGCAATTTATCTGTGGAACTGCGTCTAGTGTTGTGGCTCGCTGGTCACACTTTTTTCTGTTTGCATTACTCCAGACACAAAAAGAAGTCGCTTATTAATGTGAGTGACAGGCAGGATATAAACAAGGATCGCACTTATGCTGCTATTCTAACAATACGGAACACCTATTAATAGCGGCTTTTATTGTCCATGGTCAAGCAATAAACACATCAAGCTTGAACAGCGCAGGTTACTTTTGTTTTAACAAGCCAAACATAAAAGCTGTGTAAAGCTGTGTTTTTTATTAATATTAATCATGAAATAGCTGCACAAGACAGATGTTTTTTTTTTCTTCTGCCTGGACTTGGATTAAAGGGCTTTTTTTTTTTCCTTTTTTTTTTGACTCTACACAAAACATGAGAATGAGTTTGCACAATCATGTGACAAGAGGCTTCAGTGCACAGTGGAAAGTCTGAGTATGGATGTTCAGACTAGGGCAAGTTGTATCTTTGACTTCAATACAGCTGTTGTGTTTCCTGGATAGCATAAAAATTTCTCACTTTAGGGCTCATTCACAATACCAAACCACAGCACAGATGCAGCACAGTATAGCGTGGTTTTCGTGCAGGTTACCGGCAGTTTCCCATAGACTTTGCACCGAAGATGCAGCATGCAGGACTTTTGTTGCACTTTGAAAAATGCCCACTCTAATAGCAGTCAATAGGAAAGAGAAGGTAACCCGCATGAGAACTGCAGGTACGCTCCTCTGCACTCACACTGCGGCCAAACCTCAGCGCAGAAGTGAGAAACCACCCCAAGACATGAGGGAATCTACCAAGATCTGACATGGGAGGTCAGCGGTTGTGGGCCCCTCAATGTCGCTGACTTCATGAGGATGGCCTGAGGGCTTTTTGCCTTCTGACATCAATAGGAAGCTTAAAAGTATATTCTATGAGGCTGAACGTAAACCCGCTGTGTCATCACTGGATATGGATATGTATTGAAGTGAAAGCGTTCGTAAACCCTGATGCTGTGTTTGTGGATTTAAGTTCGCCATATATTAATTTAAATTCAGCTGGTTTAGCAGAAATCAGCTGAATTTCGATCCATGTATGGCCGTTATTGACTTCTGTCAAATGGGAATGTTGGAAAAGTTTTATCAGCAGCTGCAGCCAATCCGCGCAAGTCGCTGATCAGTGTATTCTGACAGCAGAGGAGTCCCGGCTATTAGAATCCAATGGCACTGCAGGGAGGATTTCTTCATCCACTTTGCTTATGTACATGGGGGGATCTTAGTGGTGCACAAAAATGAAAATTCTGGTGCTAAAACGTAAAATTCGGGATGCACTTGGCCAAAAACTGAATCCAAAAACGGACCATTTTTAAATAAAAAATTAATGTGGCTGGCAATTTTGCATTGAAGTAACTAGGGGGCGTTTTTGCATTGAAGTCAATGGGGACATGAAATCCATTAAAGTCTATGGGACAAGATTTTCCATTGAAGTCACTAGGGGGGGGGGGGGGTTTTTGCATTGATGTCATTAGGGACGTGACTTTGCATGAAAGTCTGAGACGCAATTTTGCATTGAAGTCGCTAGGATTTTTTGCATGAAAGTCTAGAAGTCGCAACGTTGCTTGTATCAGCACTTTTTTGCCTATCGACAAAATGCCAATAGCAGTGTTTTCGGCTGATATGTTTTTTGGCCATCGGTTTATCAGTGCATCCCTAGGGAATCTGTTCATTTTTTTTTTTCATTTTTTTTTTTTCTATCAGCCTGCTGGCTGATCTAATAAAAACAATCCATCTATGGCCCGCCTTAGGCTGTGCACATGAACCCCCAAAATCAACCTATAAAACAAAGTTAAATGAATTTCAAAAAATGCCCTTTTTAATGCAATTTGTGCTGATCATGCGATCAATGTTCCTCTGCTTAGCTCTCCACAGACTGGGTCAATGGGTGAGACTAGAGCTGGCCATAGATGGATCGAATCTTGGCTGGTTCAGCAGGGACTTGACGAGATTCAATCCATCTTTAGGCAAGATGATCCATCAATCGACCTGTCAGGTTTTTAGAATGCGATTATTGTCTGTGGGGCTATAGCTGTTAGCAAACTGGTAAGGCTCCCCAGGTGTGTGTGTCGTTCCCCCCCCCCCCCCCCCCCCCCCCCCCCCCGCAGGTAGAACACAATGGCATTCCCCCATCATCACTCAATGTATTTATTTTATTTATTTCAGGTACTTATATAGCGCCGTCAGTTTACGCAGCACTTTACATATATATTGTACATTCACATCAGTCCCTAACCCTCAAGGGGCGTACAATTTAAGGTCCCTAACTCAGTCATATACAAGGGCCAATTTAGACAGGATCCAATTAACCTACCAGCATGTCTTCGGAGTGTGGGAGGACACTGGAGTACCCGGAGGAAACCCACGCATGCACAGGGAGAACATGCAAACTCCAGGCAGGAGGTGCCGTTGCTGGGATGCGAACCAACGACCCTAGTACTGCCAGGCGGAAGTGCTAACCGTTTAGCCACTGTGCTGCCCTAGTTGATGGGGAATTGAGTGATTTTCTGTACTGCAACTTATAGTGGAAGGAACGAAAATCAATTCATCTATGGCTTTCAGGCTCGATTCACATATATGTGGGTGGGGGAATCACAGCAATTCCTGCACCCATAACCACCTTCAGTAAAAACTCGCTGCTATGAGAAAACATGCGGGCTGCCATTTATTCTCAATGGCAACCCCACGCATGTAAAAGTTCAGACTGTTTGCGGGTGCAGGAACCGCAGGGAAATCACATGGTCAAAATGACCGTGCGATTTCATTGTAGGACACATTTTGAAAAAGGTGCATGCACATTTTCTGAGCGAAATGCAAGCATGGCAGCCCATTCAAATGAATGGGCTGCCGTGTCCGAGCAAACGCAGCTCGCAAAAGCACATATATGTGAACCAAGCCTTCTGGTAGATTTGTTTGTAGGTTTACTGACACTTTAACAATAGATATTTTGACCTAAAATCCTAGAAATCCTCTTCTTGAGTATGATTAATATTTACTAAGGTTTTATGCCATTAAGTTAAACACATTGCTTTAAAATCTGTATTTCTTTTTTCCAGCCTTCTGTTGAGATTCACAGATGACACTTTTGATCCAGAGCTTGCTGCTACTATAGGTAAGTGATGTTCAGGCTGTATTACTTTTTGTAAAGGTACCTGTAGACAAGAAACAGTCTGGACAAATTAGAAAATCCACTCTCATTGTTATGAATAAATATATATATCACAAGCACCTGAGATAATTGGCTTCAGCAGCTTCTTCCAGCACCTTCTCTTTCAATTACTTATAGTAAAAGGTTGTTGTGCACGCTGCTCTTGTTCATGGGCCTGTTGGACAGTCCTGATGCTAAAGTGTGCTTGGTTGATGCAAGAGCACCAAAATGCCTTTGTACTCCAGGTCTGTTGCTGAATCTGTATATGTAATGGGCAAATATGGTTGCCCCCATAAACATATTTCTTTATCATCCAGTGAAGGATGCAGCTTGATGATCATTCAGCAACCTAGGGTTTACTGCTGCCAACACTAGACACATAGAAAACTGAAAACCAGTCAGATGCAGCTGCTGTTCAGGTATTTTGAATGCCGGTGGGTCTGGCTGTCAAACACAATAGCTGCAGTGGTAGATTAGTTCATATGCTTTATAGTGTAGATGGAGGAATCTGATCGGAGTAACAATGGGTGTAGGCCAGCTTTAACTTGGAGGAGACTGAGCTCTGTGCTGGATGTTCCGCCCCTCACAGAAACACCCATAATTTGGGATTCAAAAGAGGGTTGAGCTACAGCCAGCATATAGTGCTATATATGCACTTTTTTCTCTGGGGAGTCTTCTTTTTAGGCACACTGATTCGTTATTGCCATTCTTGAAGATTCTAAGGCCCCATTCACACTAGGACGTTTTGAAATTGCGGGCAGATTTACGGCGATTCGCCCTGCGATTCAAAGTACCCTAGTATAAATAAGTGCCTCTTTCTCCTGTTAAACTCACGCCATTAGGACAATGAGGCCATTAGGCCTCATTTTCACAAAATTGTGAGGCTTTGGCCTGGTCATGTGGCACAAGGCCCAACCCTTTGTTGGGTATTTCTTGTTTTGCTGGTCCACCTGTGTTGTTTGCATGCTTACCCTTCAGTATTGGTATGCTTTTTTACATTTCATAGGTTGCTTAATTATCATCAAACTTTGTCAGGAGGTGAGGAAGTGAACAAAATCTCTGAAAAGTGATTAGAATCCCCCTTGGACACTTGTTACCAGAACAGTTGGATGGTTTCCCCTCTATTCCTGTCCTGTTGACAACTCAAGATGTGTGCCTTTTTTTTCTTTTTTTACCCTTACCTTTAGGCTACATGTACACACTGAACCCCCATTCGAAGCCAAACTCTCCTGGCTACTGAAAAACGTGGCGCCGCATTTAGTGATTGGGCATTTATTCTTTTCAATGGCAAGTACTCTGGTCAATAAAATGAATAAACACCCAAGCGCTAAACGCCGCAAGCGCTAAGGCGTGTTTACAAATGTCTTTGCCACGTTTTGCATTTTTTGGCCAAAACGTTACTCTCCTGAATGCATCTCTTCTGCTCTCAGGAGAGGGACGTTTAACTGCCCCTAAATGCTACTGCTGCTAAACTTTTTGATAAAAGCCTATGTGTGCTTGGACACATAGACTTTTGAGTTTAGGGACTTTGGCAAACAAAACGCCAAAAGCTCCAAAACGCACGTTTAAGAGCAGCAGTGTACATGAGGCCTAAGTCCCAGTGACAGTGGTCTTCAGGACGAATAGAAAAGGCACATTTTTTTCCATGTGTTTTCAGCAGGGGCACAGGTAAAAAAAAAACAAAAAAAAGAACCCTCACCTATCCAGAACTAAAGAAAAATATTTTGCCTTTAAAGTGTTACTAAACCCAGGACCCTGCATTCACTATATCCGGTCTCCCACAGTACACAGCATGGAAGTGCAATTATTTTAGTAAACATAAACTGCTAAATACCTTTTCTCATCAGCAGTTAGAGCAGTCTTGTGACTTCTATTAGTGTCCAGCAGAGCACTGGTTAAAGTTTGTAGGAGTTTTCATTTTGCTCTAGGAGAATGTAGAACCCCTGACTTCTGTCTGGACAGTGCTGATTGGCCCTGTGCTGACCACATGCACCCTCCCAAGAAAAAAAAAACCTCTCTAGCATTTTTCACCAAACTGAGCATATGCAGAGTGACTCCAGATATGTCTTATCAGGAGATAGGAGGAGGACACTGGAAGAAGGGGAGGATCAGAGAAGTCAGGGTCAAACAGCGGTTTAAACCCTTAGGTCACGCAGTGAGTAGAACAAGCATGCTTTACTACATTTACAAACTGATTTTACTGTAGTGGGTTTAATAGCACTTTAAATACACTTAAATTAGGCTAATCTCTCATCTGTAAATGAAAAGTTTTTTTTTTTAATATTTTTTAAAGTATTGAGTTTTTTTTCTGTGAATAAGCTACAATCACCTCTTCTGTGAATAAAATGTTAATCCAAAAACAAATCACTTCGGTTTAGGTTGTGCCTCTTGACTGTATTTGAGAAAAGTGTAGGCTGTATAAAACCAAAGAACGAGAGCTGCTCCATAAACAATAACTCTTATACAAATAGGGCTTTATTTGCTCTTCTTATCTGAGTCTACTGTCATTCTGGAATAACGCCTTATGGGAGAGCATGAAGAGACTTGTTTATTCATAGTATGTCACCTATAGATCTATTATGATGTAGTTCAGCGATTTATAAAAAAAAAACAAAAAAACCAGCCAATTATTTGCAATACAAATAACATACCTATGGTTTATTTTGTAGGTGTTGATTTTAAAGTGAAAACCATTTCAGTTGATGGTAATAAAGCAAAGTTGGCCATTTGGGTAAGTACAAGTAAAAACAGTTCTCTGTGATGACCTTATTTTGACAATACAGCACGTCAAATTCTAGAATCAGTAAGTTGGAGAAGGAAAGGGTGCACACAAAATGATTCTTCAGTGTTGCTATGATCAGTGCTGCCCTGATATAAAAAGGATGGCGCGGCTTGCCACAAATCTTCAATAAATTAAATCTCGCCAGCACATTGTATGTTCAAAAGAGTTTTATTATTAATCACAGTACAAGCAATGTTTCAAAGTACACGACCCCTTCATCAGGTAGACTGTGACAATAGTGATGCATCACAGAGCCCACTATATACAGATACAGACCAATCAGAGAGCTTCTCCCCAGCAATGCAGAACCACAACCATGGTGATAGTTAATTACCACAGCTGTTAAGTGAGTATCTTGAAATCTCCCAAGCACATGGTCCAGAAGATGTGCATACATACATGCAAAAAACTAAGGTAGAAGTGTGCAGATCATAATAAATAGCGTTGGTGCTGTTCGCTCCATGAAATTGACCGCAGAGTGTTTACTGCTGCCATGTACTGTATGCACCATCGTCAAAACCAGAAGCAACTGGTGTTGATGATGGTTCACTTCTGATCTGGTGATGGTGAACACAAGGCTGTCACCATGAAAATGGTAAAACTTCCTGCTATCAATTCCATGACGTGGACAGTGCCAGCAATGTTGCTTTGATTTGCAAACTTCTACCTCCCTTTTTTTTTTTTTTTTTTTAATTAACTTGTTATACTTTCTTGGTCTGTTCAAAGGTTTTGTAAAGAGCAACCCCTAGCCTCTTCTTTTTGGGTCTCCGCATGGCGGTCCTGGCTCATCCCCCCTGCCAAGTGCCTCCAATAGCAAGTCTCTTGCTATGAGGGCACTCAGGCAACTCTCTCCTATGAATGGACGTTGTCTATTCACAGAAAAGTGTGGCTCGGCTCCGCCCCCCACTCTCTCCTCATTGGAGCACTGGCTGTCATTGACAGCAGCAGGAGCCAATGTCTCCCACTGCAGTTTGAGCCAGTGAGGAAAGAGAGACCTGGGATAGCCTCTGCTCTCATGCACATTGCTGGATCGAGATGGGTCTAAGGTAAGTATAAGGGGTCCTGGGAGGAGCTGCACCCAGAAGGTTCATTACATTTTTACATAAAAGCGGTAGTAAACTGCAAAAAATTAAACAAAAAAAAAAAGTATTTTTTCCTGCTAGTTAAGATCATAATGGTCATAGTTAAGGACCTTTCAAGCATTCCAGGCCCTCCTACCTGCTCTTTGTGTTTTTCACCTGCATAAGATTTACATGGTTCATGTAAATTCTTTGTCATTTGTTAGGCTCTACACAGGGTCTATAGTTTAGTAGATAATCACATTCCTGTTTGACATTTCTGTTTGTATAGAAACATGAGGCATGACACTGCAGAGGTTAATCCATGACTTCTGTCTGTAGTCTAAGGCAGGCCATAGACAGAGCGAATTCCTTTCCTGCAAGCACGAGTTGACAGGTGGAATCCCTTCTGCTGACCCATTGTTTTTGTGCCCGCTGGGAGAACACAGTGATTATTGCTAGCGGCTATAACACGCTAGCAATAATCGCATGTGAAATCCGACAGGCTGGTTGTAGCCAGGTTGATTGATCACCTCTGCTAATTTGTTTGCAAGATGTCAGAATAGCCTCCCAGAGCTGCTGTTTGGATGTAAACTGCCTCCCACCCTCATAAATCTTTTGCTTGAGGATGCTCCAAAGGTTCTCAATAGGATTGAGGTCAGGGGAGGATGGAGGCCACACCATGACCTTCTCTCCTTTTATCCACATAGCAGCCATTGATGCAGAGATATTCTTTGCAGCATGAGATGGTGCATTGTCATGCATGAAGATGATTTTATTACGGAAAGCATAGTTCTTCCTTCTGTACCGGGGAAGAAAGTGGTCAGTCATAAACTCCACATACTTTGCAGAGGTCATTTTTACACCTTTGGGGACCCTAAAGGGGCTGATCAGCTCTGTTCCCATGATTCTGGCCCAAAACATGACTCCACCACTGCCTTGCTGACGTCGCAGCCTTGTTGGAACAGGGTGGCCATCCACCAACCATCTACTACTCTATCCATCTGGACTATCCAGGGTTGCACGGCACTCATCAGTGAACAGGATTGTTTGAAAATTAGTCTTCATGTATTTTTCTGCCCAATGCAGCCGTTTCTGCTTGTGAGCATTGGTTATTGGTGGCCGAATAGAAGGTTTATGCACAGTTGCAAGACTCTGGAGGACTCTACACCTTGATGTCCGTGGGACTCCAGAGGCACCAGCAGCTTCAAATATCTGTTTGCTGCTATGTAATGGTATTTTAGCAGCTGCTCTCTTGATCCGATGCATGGATCTGGCAGAAATCTTCCTCAATGTGCCTTTATCTGCACCAACCAGTCTGTGCTCTGATTCAGCCACAAATCTCTTAATAGTGCGATGATCACGCTTATGTTTTCGTGAAATATCTAATGTTTTCATATCTCGTCCAAGGCATTGAAATATTTCACTCTTTTTGGCAGCAGAGAGATCTTTTTTCTTCTCCATATTGCTTGAAAATGGTGCTCTGCTTAATAATGTGGAACGCCCTCCTTTAGTAGTTTTTCCTTAAATTGGGCTCACCGGCCAATCTAATTATCACAGGTGTCCGAGATTGTTTTCAGTGATCAACAGACCCCTGACACACAATGCCATCCATAAGTTAAACTGAAAAACAAAATATTTAATCTTTGTGACTCTTAAATAGAATTTGCATAATAATTTGGAACAGGGTGTATTTTAAATGATAGAGACAGAATATCAACCAAAAATCCAGAAAAAAACACGATACAAATGTTATAAATTGAGTTGCAGTTCAGTGAGTAAAAAAGCATTTGATCCCCAAGCAGAACATGACTTGGTACTGGGTGGAGAAACCCTTGTTGGCAAGCACAGAGGTCAGATGTTTCTTGTAGTTGGTTACCAGGTTTGCACACATCTCAGGAGGGATTTTGGTCCACTCTTCTTTACAGATCTTCTCTAAATACTTCGAGTTGCCAAGCGACAGCCAAGAAACATTAAGTGTCGGCTTCTTCCATACGTTTTCTACAGGATTAATGTCTGAAGACTGGCTAGGCCACTCCATTACCTTAGAGCAGAGGTCCAGTGAGAAAAAAAAAAAAGTCAGCAGCTACAAAAACTGTAGCTGCTGACTTTTAAAAAAGAAAACACACTCGCCTTTTCCTCGATCCCGTGGTGTCCTCACACCGGCCAGGTTGACCGACTGTTCTGACTTATCAGCGCTGGCATCTTCAGTGTAGGCACCTGGCTGTGATAGCTTGCGGCTTCACTTCCAGGTGCCCACTGCGCATGCACAAGTAGCGCTGTGCTTTGTGAATGGTCATGTAGTCTTCTGGGACCTGTCACGCGTGCCAGAGGACTATGGGAAGGGAGGGGGAACAACTTTTTTTTTTTTTTTTTTTAAGCTAGACATAAGTTGTCATTAGGAGCACCTTCTTAAATTGACAGGACTAATCTGTGTACCACATGAGTACAGTCTGTGGGAGCCAGAATTATTGTTGGTAGGGAATCAAATACTTATTTTACTCAACTGCAACTCAATTTATAACATTTGTATCGTGTTTTTTCTGGATTTTGGTTGATACTCTGTCTCCTGTCATTTAAAATACACCTCTGATAAAAATGATAGATCCTTAATTTCTTTGTAAGTGGGCAAACTTACAAAATCTGCAGGGAATCAAATAATTTCCCCATTGTATCCCACAATCCCAGGGTCTCTCCCTCTAGTGCTGGTGCAGGTGAAAGCAATTACCAGAGCTTACATGAAGAGATATGTTCGTTTCATAAAACATTTGTGATGCAACACAGAGAATTGGTCAGGCCTCCATGTGACCTGGAACAAGAAGTTGTTTGTCTCGTTGGTGAACAGGGACAAGGTAGTTGGAGTACTGCATGGACATAGGGGAAGAGAATTGATCAGCCATGACATTACAAACTGCCGTCACAACATGAGAGTTCATCATTACAAGGGAAGGCAACAAACAATACAGGGATTATAAATACACTAACACCTAGTTAAAATTGCAAACACATTTGAAAGTGTACAATGCCTTTAAACTGTACTAATAGTGTCTTGGTCCGGCGTCTACCATGAACAGGAATGCATGGGTTTCACAAGCTTTCCTTTTTTAGGCTATGGAATTGGGCTGTTTTCCAGCCTAAGAATGGGATCCAAAGGACACAAGAATAGATCAAAAGACTAACAAAGGTGCCCACAGGTTTCACAAAATGCCTGAACTTCCACACTACTTGTTACTTTTTTTGTAGACCGTTCAGTTTAACATGAACCTGATGTTTTTTTGTCTTTTTTTTTTTCTTGCACAAATATTTGACATCAAACAGCATTAGATAAAGTTTCAGTACAAAAGGGAAAGGGAATATATGTCAAAGTACACATAAGGTAACTTTAGTAGTATGTGAAAAACAAATACGTTAGCAAATGTTAGGAGCTGGGCCTCAGAAGGAATTGTAGAAATCTCATGAACAGGTGGTCCTGGCTAGGAGTCTTATAAACTGAACATGCTTTCTTCTTACTGTATACATTCATGAGTCATATACGTGTTTTAAAGAGCCAGGAACCATGTGCAGTCAGCATTAGAAATTAATCACAAAAGCTAATCAGATCATCCAAGTGTGCATGTTTATGTTCAGTGGAGGGAGGAGGAGCCTGCCTCCATACTGGATGGTGTCCAGCACGCTGTGTGGTTTTTTTTTTTTTTTTTTTTTGTGTTTTTTTTTTTTACCCCTTTCCTAATTTGAATTGCCCGCAATTATTTTGTTTACATTCAGCTGTCAGCGGGCAACCCCACTTACAGCGAAGGAGTCATCGGTTGTTAAGGATGCAGGCGGCCAGCTATCAACCAGATAAATGCCAGAAAAATGCTGACACAAAAACAAAAGACTCTGGGAAACAACTTTATTAGTGGTTTGTTTTTTTTTATCCAGCGGTTTGTCAACTCCTAGTGTGCATGGAGCCTACATGAGCTGCGGGGCGAGAATGACCAGGCCCACAGCTCACTGGAGCAAAAAAGTCAGTTTGGCTAGAGAAGAGTTCAGAGGATACCCGAACTTATTTCCACTCAGCATGATGGCTAAGCAACTAGCTTTTGAAGAATGAGAGGCCAGCAGCGACAGTTTCAATGTATCTATTAAAAATGGTTAGGAGAGATTAGCACCTGCTTTACTAATAGTTTCTCTAATTGTGTACAATTGACATTTCTCTTGTTATATGGGTACTTGGTAGAGCCAGTTTGCCATGGTTATCTGATATGCACACCTTTTGGCATCCCTCCCTCAAGGCTGACTAACTTACAAATGGATAGTGTTTTCTTGCAACATAAACTTAAGGGAAAACGTTTTGCTTGACTTGGCCTTAAAATCCTTTAGAAACATAAGCTGAACATACATTATACAATTTTCTTATTCAATTTCCTTAGATGTACCTTCAATTATGTAGTGTAAGGGCCTGCCTGATTGCATGTTTAGGTTTGACCTTATTGATTGTATAATGTATGGCCAGCCTTTAGACTTCCTTTGCTAATTACACTAGTACACAGCTAATTACACTAATTACACTAGATCCATTTTTCAAAATTATAATTTAAAAAGGGTCAGAGTGAAGAATTAGGATTAATATACCCTAAAGTGGTAAAGTATGGACAAGACATTTTGTGAGGTTGAATGTGCAGTAAAGTATTTCAGTAGAAAAATGTTACACAGGCGTAGGGCGTGGATGTGAGTAACTACTTTTTGTCCTTGTGTCTCTGTAGTGCAAGGCATGCTCCAGACAGACATGAAAATTCTGCATTTAAACACAGTGAATTCAGCTCATTTCCTGAGTGCTTTGAATTTTCATTTTGGGATAGGTATTGCCAAGATGCCTGCCCTTCTGATAAAATGTCCACGAGTTGCCTGTGTCCTTGTCTTCTAATGGCCCTGATGTTGACCTTGAGAAAATTCAGGTCAGGACATGCACAAAGATGTGGCAAGCACAGCGCCAATCATCTAGTGGCTGATGGGAGATTCACATCTGTAGTTCACCAAAGGATACAGGTTTTCATATACTTTTGTATGAGGAGGAAGTTGCATAGGAGTGCTATTTTGAATATTTCTGTGAAACCGTGACTGTTGGGGCCGTTTAAATGCCAGAGAGATAGTGGTAGTTTCTCTGAAATTGCAGTTGTGGTTTTGTAAAGGGGATGGTTTAGAGTAAAAAAAAAAAAATTAGATTAGTATATGTACAGTGCCTTGAAAAAGTATTCATACCCCTTGAAATTTTTCACATTTTGTCATGTTACAACCAAAAATGTAAATGTATTTATTAGGTTTTATTTGATAGACCAACACAAAGTGGCACATAATTGTGAAGTGGAAGGAAAATGATAAATGGTTTTCAAAAATGTTTACAAATATCTGAAAAGTGTGGCTTGCGTTTGTATTCAGCCCCCTTTACTCTGATACCCCTAACTAAAATCTAGTGGAACCAATTGCCTTTAGAAGTCACCTAATTAGTAAATAGAGTCCACCTGTGTGCAATTTAATCTCAGTATACATACAGCTGTTCTGTGAAGCACTCAGATATGTTAGAGAACATTAGTGAAGAAACCGTATCATGAAGGCCAAGGAACACACCAGACAGGTCAGGGATAAAATTGTGGAGTTTAAAGTAGGGTTAGGTTATATATAAAAAAAAAAAAAAAAAAAAAAAAAGTATCCCAAGCTTTGAGCACTGTTCAATCCATCATTGGAAAATGAAAAGAGTATGGCACAACTGCAAACCTACCAAGACATGGCCATCCACTTAAACTGACAGGCCGGGCAAAGACAGCATTAATCAGAGAAGCAGCCAAGAGGCCCATGGTAACTCTGGAGGAGCTGCAGAGATTCTCAGCTCAGGTGAGAGAATCTGTCCACAGGACAACTATTAGTCTTGCACTCCACAAATCTGGCCTTTATGAAAGAGTGGCAAGAAGAAAGCCATTGTTGAAAGAAAGCCATAAGAAGTCCCATTTGCAAGAAGCCATGTGGGGGACACAGCAAACATGTGGAAGAAGGTGCTCTGGTCAGATGAGACCGAAATTGAACTTTTTGGCCTAAACGCAAATTGCTATGTGTGGCAGAAAATGAACACTACACATCACCCTGAACACACTATCCCTACTGTGAAACATGGTGGAGGCAACATCTTGTTGTGGGGATGCTTTTCTTCAGCAGGGACAGGGAAGCTGGTCAGAGTTGATGGGAAGATGGATGGAGCCAAATACAGGGCAGTCTTAGAAGAAAACCTGTTGGAGTCTGCGAAAGACTTGAGACTGGGGTGGAGGTTCACCTTCCAGCAGGACAACGACCCTAAACATACAGCCAGAGCTACAATGGAATGGTTTAGATCAAAGCATATTCATGTGTTAGAATGGCCCAGTCAAAGTCCAGACCTAAATCCAATTGAGAATCTGTGGTAAGAAAATTGCTGTTCAGATGCTCTCCATCCAATCTGACAGAGCTTGAGCAATTTTGCAAAGAAGAATGGGCAGAAATGTCCCTCTCTAGATGTGCAAAGCTGGTAGAGACATCCCCAAAAAGACTTGCAGCTGTAATTGCAGTGCAAGGTGGTTCTACAAAGTATTGATTGCGGGGGGGGCTGAATACAAATGCACGCCACAGTTTTCAGATAAAAATTTGTAAACAATTTTGCTTGAGGTCACCTCAGGTAAAAAAGTTTTAAAACCATTTATCATTTTCCTTCCACTTCACAATTATGTGCCACTTTGTGTTGGTCTATCACGTAAATAATCCCAATAAAATACATTTATGTTTTTTGCTGTAACATGACAAAATGTGGAAAATTTCAAGGGGTATGAATAATTTTTCAAGGCTCTGTAATTATCTGGGGGACATATGTCAATCCTGTTGCATCAACAGAATTATTGCAAATTACAGCCCAAGTCATACATTTCCCTTTTGGCTGCTCTAAAATTGCAGAGGGGTTTGTTTACTAAAGCTGGAGAATGCAAAATCGGGCTCACTTCTGCATAGAAACCAATCCGCTTCGGACCTAAGCTTGTTCAATTAAGCTTTGGCAATAAAACGTGGAAGCTGATTGGTTTCTATGCAGAAGTGAGGCTGATTTTGCATTCTCCAGCTTTAGTAAATAACCCCAGTGTGACCTAATGAGGCATGACCCAGACCACTGTCTGTTGAGTGTGAAAATCTCTCTCATCTTCCATAATAAATCTTGGTTTATCTCTGAATTTTGCTAACTATCGCACTTGGCTGCCCAGGAATACTTGCTAAAGGAGATGCAGCCTGATTTGCAATTAATTGTGTTGTTAATTTGCTTGCTAAATGTTTTCTCCCTTGTTTCAAGAAGGCAGAGTGGTGGTGGGTTTGTTGGTCCTTATTGCTCACAAAACTTGGTTGGTTGTACTGTCCTGTTCAATGCAATCAGCAGTGATGCGGTTTGTCCACTAGATGGTGGTGTGGTACAATATAAACAGTTCACTTGGTAAGTTATATGACTGACTTGAAAATCTATAATGATGTCTTTTATCTGTTTTATAGGACACTGCTGGACAAGAACGTTTCCGGACCTTGACTCCTAGCTATTACAGGGGTGCACAAGGTGTTATATTGGGTAAGGAATGTTTTTTTACGTTTTAAATGACAGTGCATCGAATCTGCCTTAATGCACAAAGTTTGATTCAGCTTGGAGTCTGTGGATCCAATACAAAGCTATTGAGTAGTTCCCATTATTCAGTGTCCACCATGGAGATCTCTGCCCTTTTATCTTCCCTTTCTTTTTTTTTTTTTCTTTTTTTTTTTGTCTTTTATTATTATGTCTGTTTTTTTTTCTTAGAGGTGCTGACAACTAGCCTCTTATCATGCTCAGTGGGTAGTTCTCTGTACCTGCCTCACCAGGAGATGTTTGAAAACAGAATTGGATATTCTGGACTCTGTAGTAGCTGTAGGATAAATGGGAATTTTATTTTTTATTTTTCTTTGTTCTCCTTGGCAGGTAGATGTTGATCTTCTAGTAGTCACCCAAAATATTGGTGCCCTGCAATGCTGTTATTTGATATCATTTTTAAGGTGTCTTTTCTGTCATTTATATTGAGTACATAAGTAGTTTATTTTGTATTTTGAGGGTATATATCCTCAAAAATTACTAATACCTTATCATTGCACAAAGTTTTCAGTAGACATATTGTGCTATATAACTGATGCGTGATACATTTACCTGGAATCTTGGATGTTTTGTATTAAAGGATAACTCCACTTTCGGGGAAAAACATTGTACATAAAAGGAAATATACAGTTTATAGAATTGCAACACAAGCTGTATTGTAATTTAATCTGTTAAATTTACCTTTCCTCTTCAACCTGCAGCGCTGTAATTTTCAAAACAATATGTTAACATGGAGGCGTTCTGTACACAGATGGTGTCTGCAATAAAATATAAGTTTTAGGCATCCTCAATCCTGCATTAGAAAGATCATATTTGATGAGATACCCCCAAAGGTTTAATCACTTCTAAAGAGTTGCCAACCCTGCTAGTTTCCTCATTAGAGCCCTGCAAGTGCATCAGCTGATAAAAAAAAGTCCCTACTTTTCAGAATCGGTGTCCAAAAGACGTAGAAGAACAAACAGGTTTTTCTTCAAACGGATGGAATCTGCAACAGAGTTTAAGAAAAAAAAAAAAAAATCTTTTGGGTTTTTTTTTTTTTTTTTTAAATTTCCAACAAAAGTGGAGTTACTCTTTAAAGTCCATTTTATAGTTTGTCTTATTTAGATTAGCATGTTAATCCTTTTTGCAAATAATGAAAAAAAATCAATTGAAAGTGATAAATCTGCCTTACATGGTGTACTGATGATTTGATTCTATTTAGACCTAAATATTAGTAGTAAGCTTAAAATGGAGGAAAAGTTGCAAATAATGCTTGTTAATGTGATCACATAGCAATTACTAGAAGTACGGAGGTTAGGCACCAAGCATTTAAAGTGGAGTTCCAGGCTCCACCCAAAAAAATTAAATGTCAGCAGCTACAAATACTGTAGGACACTACCCTATCCAGGGATCCAGCGATGTCCTCACCCGAACCTATTCTTCAATCAGCATTAGGTGCATGTGCCAGCACCTTCAGTAAGGGAAACCGGAAGTGAAGCCTTGAAACTTCACAACTGGTTTCCTACTCTGCATACACGTTGTGAATGTTCCTGCCGTCTTCTGGAACCTTTAAAGAGTCCAAGAAGGCTGCGGGGAATAGGAGAATATTGAACTTCTGGCTCAGATCACAGCGGTGCATCTGTTCAGAAGTGGGAGCAGGTGCCTGTCAAAACCAGGTACCCGCTCCCCCCCTAAAAAGTGCCAAATGTGGCAGTGGAGGGGGGGACAAGCTGAACTACCCCTTTTGCGTGAAGTTCCACTTTAACTACACGTCATATAAGTTTTATTTCTATCATGGTGCTTTTTAGCTCTGCCATATTCTGTTCACCTTTTATATATCAACAGTTATGGAGAAATATCTTTTGTGTGCGTGCGCAAATGTATTTATTTCAATTATTGACAATATCTGTGTATGTATGTGTGTGTTGGAGACATAAACACATACTATACCACCTGTCAGAAATAGATTCATATGGATATGTTTAAGTTATATGTAGTACGGCAAGTCATGAAATTTAGAAAGTACTTTAACTCAGATTATCTATATTACACCAAAGAGAATGCAAAATGAAAGGTATTTATGAGAAATCTAGAGAGCAAAGTGTATTTATTGGTATGTGAAGTGATCAGACTTTGCTGAGTTTGAAATACTTAGAACACAGTGGGAAAGTTAGGATCCTATAGGATAACAGCTTGCACAAATTATCCATTTACACGTTTTCAGTATAGCCCTTTTGTTAATCTAGTTGAAAAGACGCTGACACTTTGCCCATTCAGGGTCCTGGTTGCCTATCCACCCTAGATAGAGTGAGGAAGAGTTAAAGTGATACTCCGCACACCCTATTTAACTTTAAATTATCCTATATCTTTATGTATATGGATGATGGCGCTGTATTTGTTTGAATTTAAAAAAAGAAAAGTCATGTCATGTGACCCAACTGTTTCCCAGCCCATCTGCAAGGAAACATCAGTGGGAGGAGTTTCTAGTCCTCTGCTGCTGGTCGTATCTTAAAAAAAAAAAAAAACAGCCTGTGAAATGCAAAGGAAAATTACAAAATGAATATCAAATACATGTTGTTTTAAATCCTCTTACACATGTATTTGAACTCAAATCTTCATTATTTTGTGCAAAAAACATGGCGTGGGTTATCTAGAGGAAGTACTGCCAATCACACCCCGTTTTCACACCCTTCCAGGCTGTCTATAGTTAGTGCAGTATGTGCTTAGAATTAAAGGGAAGTTAAGCTTCATTCAATCAACATTTAGTATCCTGCCCCTATTATGTTTAGCTTTTTAGTGGCATGGAGGAGGGAGGGGCTGTCATTTATCTGGAGCTTGTACACCACATGTGTGACTTTTTAGTCATGTGGGCTGCACAGATGAGAAAAAGGAGCAAATGAACAGCTTAGAAGGGAACTGAAACTGGAGCATGCTCAGTAGATGTGGCAGCAGCTGGTCTATACAATGTTAGATGACAACGGGGTCACAGACCAGGAGGGAGGGACAGTGAACAGCAGAATAAACCAGGTGTTTTGAAAAATAGCATAGTGACTGAGTATGAACATCATATAATACAGCATATAGAGACTTTTTTTTAATGATGTGGGTTTAATGACACTTTAATAAGTTCTATCAAATTGTTATTCCTGCTGGTGCCTCCATTGGGGGGTTTTATCTTACTTACTGTGTTTGCACACCTTTTTTTGTACAGGTAACACAGTCGCCTATGGGACAGGAAGGCAATTCAAACATAATCTCAAGTTCTAGCCTTTCTTTACTGTGTTCATTTCCCATGTGCCTTCCCCTCCTGCCCTGAGAAAAAATTGAGAAAAACTTTCCAGGCAGAGCCACAAATGGTAGTAAAAACCAAGACTAATGCAGGCCATAGACGGTTCGTTTATCGGCTGATTTTTCTTCCGAAAGAATAATCAGCCGATTCTCGCACTGTTAGTGGAGCAATGGCATCGGCCGATTTTCGCGTTTTCCTCCTCATTTCTTTTATCGGTCATGCTGGAAAATTGGTGAAAAACGGCCGATTTTCGCAATCATTGGTGGCAACAGAACGACCGATGTTTTGTTTTTTCGGACGATAAATCGGCCGATAAACGAACAGTCTATGGTCTGCATAACTTCCCAGTTCTATCTAAAACATTTTTTTCATTAGTTAGGTTAATGGTACACAGGTGGTATTTGTGGTCAGTATGTGTAAGGACAGTGCCAGCCTTGTATTTTTGTATCTTTTTCCTTCTAAATGTCACTATTCTGCTTCTGTTTTTTCAGTTTATGATGTGACGAGAAGGGACACATTCGTACGGCTGGACAACTGGTTAAATGAGTTGGAGACATATTGCACAAGAAATGACATAGTAAAAATGTTAGTTGGAAACAAGATAGACAAGGTAAGTCACTACTAACTGTTTAACCATTTCAGTACCGGACAATTCCCCCCCTTCCTGCCCAGGTCAATGTTCAGATTTCAGCGCTGTCACACTTTGAATGACAATTACTCAGTCATACAACACAGTACCCAAATTAAGTTTTTATAATTTTTTGAGACATAGTTTTCATTTCATTTATTTGTTATTTTTTGCTATATTAATGAAAACAAATTCCCCTCGCTCTTTTAAAATACAGCATTAGACATTCCAAAAAGTTAAAAAAAAAAAAAAATATATGAAATAAAAATATGTAGCCTTATGGTAGGTTAATTGGATCCCGTCTAAATTGTCCCTAGTATGTGTATGTATGAATGTAAGTTAGGGACCTTAGATTGTACACCCCTTGAGGGTTAGGGACTGATGTGAATGTACAATATATATATATATATAGTGTGTGTAAAACACTGTGTAAATTGACGGTGCTATATAATAAAAATAAATCTTTCTTCCTATATTTAGGCCAAAGTGTATTCTGATACATTTCTTTGGTAAAAATAACCCAAATCATTGTATAGCTAATTTGTATGAAAGCTATAGAGTCTACAAACTGATATAGTTGTTTTGTCTTAATGTATGTTATGTTTTGTCTTTAGGTATGAAAATGGTAGTAATATTGGTGTTGATACATTCTGACACCTCCAGGTTCTAGGGACAGTGCTTTCTAATGCTATACTCCTGGCTCCCTCTTCTGCAAGTGCCCCAATTGTAAGCTGCTTCCTATAGGAGTATGCGTATGAGCCCATTACTGAGCCGTGCTGCCTGTGTCTATAGAAGATAGAAGCTGGAGCCATTGGCTCACTATCCATCTGCCCTGTGAGGAGGGGGAGAGTGGAGAGAGCTGCTGCTCTCAGGCACATCGCTGGATCAAGATAAGGTTCAGGTAAGTATAGTGGGGCTGGGGAATAATCTTCACAGAAGGTTTTCTATCATAATGTGGAGAATGCAAAAGGGGAAGTTCTGCTTTTCCTCATCCCCCATATTTTTAGAATTTTTTTGGGGGGGGTATCTGATCTTGACAGGTGCCCACTCCCACCTCTGCTCCAATCACCTAGGCAAGCTTGCACCTCTACTTCTTTCCCCCCCTCAGTCTCTTGGGATATGTCACAGGACCCAGGAGACTATGGGGGACCATTCATGGGCTGCAGCATGGTGGGCGTGCAGCCAGCTGTTGAAGCAGCAAGGAGTCAGTCATCTGCCCACAGTTAAGATGCTGGTGCCTGGACCCGAATACTGACAAAGAGCTGGGTTGGGTGAGGACAGTGCTGGAACCTGGGACAGGTAAGTGTGTTTTTTTTTTTTGTTTTTTTTTTTTTTGTTTTGAGTCAGCAGCTACCATATTTGTAGCTGCTGACTTTTAATTTTTTTTGTTTACATGGTGAATATATCTTCTTTTAAGGTAGAAAACCCTTAAGACTTTAGAACCACTTTAATGCTCTGCAAGCAGCCGTTATGATTCTTCATGCACTCCACAGATTTGTGACAGGCTTACTGTTTTTTCCTTTTGTATTCTTTTAATCTGTTATTGCACTTCAAATGATCATGTGACTAACTGAAGACCTTCCCACTCAGCATTCAGGAAGTAGGAACTGAGTAAAATCCATGTGTGAGTTTAAATTTAGGACTGTCTCAAAGTTTATGTAGACCCATGCCATGTATCTGATGTATGGCATTTTTTAATTTCTTGGAAGCATTACCAGACTGATAATGTATTTATGTATGTTTACCCAACAAAGATGTTCCAAGATTGTATTGCATTAAGTCTCCGATTTTTTTTTTTTTTTTTTCAGATGTAATTTTCACAGTAAGACTATATTAGAGAGAAGGTAGATTTTAAAATAAAAATTACCAAATTATAACCAAAACTTACACAAATAGTTTGGTTTAGTTCTGTGTGTGAGTTTTTAACGGCATAAAGCGTTTTGTTTTTTTGAGGTTTTTTTTTTTTTTTTTTCTCTTAATTTTTGATTGTTTTCTTTTAGGACAAACCGAGAAGTAGACAGAAACGAAGGTCTCAAGTTTGCACGAAAACATTCAATGTTGTTTATAGGTAAGAAGAAACTAAATCCTTTTAAAACATTTTTTTTTTTCTTTCTTTTTTTTTAAGTTAATGACAAAGTTGGCAGATTTATGCAGACAGGGTGACTTACAAAAGTTGAGAATCTTCACTAAAAAAACTGTATGTTCCTTTCATTTATCTGGTCACAATAAAATCAAATTCCACATCACTTTGCATACCCGATCATGTGCAGATGCTTTTCACATGATTTGATAATTGAAGTGAATATTCACACAATTTTTTCAGTGAATATTAACTTTCACAATAGAATTCCCACTTTTTTAGCTTTTTAATCACAAGAAAAGTCACCTGGGAAATATAGACCTGATAGAAGCTAGGAAATCAACTTCTCGCAAGTCTACCATTGCATTTGTTCGGTGTTTCTCTCTCCTGGTGTGAGGGTGGAAGATTCCACTTCAGGAAGTATTTCGTGAGTTGTGTCCTGCCTCCATTCTGGTTTGAATCCAACATAGACCTTGAGTACCCTAAAGGGTCAGTTCTCTGCCCTAGCCGTTGTTTTCCAAGGGTCTGCTCGCCTGTCAGGCTCATTTGTGAAACCCTTGAGTAGGATGTTGCTCACTGTACACTCCCCGGTGACACCCTGGAATTTCAGCCTGGCTTTGTTTGATCCTTCAGAAACCATCATTCAATCCTATTCAGAAACCAAACCTTCCTATTGGGAGGATTCCCCCATCTGCCTTTATTCATACGGTTGCCTTCCTTCAATCCTTTCACCTCTACAGAATAAGGCTACTGACTCAGAAACCGGCCTTTGCAGAGAGCCCTTAAAAAATTCAGCACTAACATCAAACCATCTGGCTGAAAGGTCAATTAAGCCGTGTGGAAGCTAATGCTTCTTTTAAGCTATTGAGCTTTCTGACAGCTTTGACATAAGGGGATTCCAATTTAAATATTATTTCTTGTTTGCATATTTGTAGTAAGATAGCTCCCCTCTTGTCTGCAATTTGATTATGAACAATAATATACTTCATTCTGCCTCTGTTTACTTAGCTCAACCAATTTCAGGGACCTGAGGGCTGATTACATCTCCTAAACTTCCATTTATGCCTGCATGTCCATTCTGGTGTATTGTACAGTGCATTGGGAATCCAAAATAACTAGGTAGGGGGTTTAATAAGGAATGTACTATAAACTCCTGGGGTCACTTGCCTTGGCCCCTCCCTTTCCACCCACCACTGTGATGGCTGGCATTGCTAATGGATGGTATGGTGTGGGAGGGGACAGTCCAGAGCTCACAATCATGGTAACATAAATACTATTTACATATACTGTACTACCCTTCCATTTTCTGGGGTTTCTGTATCACCATTGCCAGAGTTCACCTGCAGATGGTTCTGCATATTAAGCCCCAGTTCACAAATGCGGCTGTGTGTGTCACAGGTGCACAAACACTGCAGCGCATTCATATGAATGGAGTGCTGTGCCTGCATTTTCTGCTGGGAAAAGGTCCCTCACCTTTTATAAAATGCGGGAGCACAGAAACTGCATGGTGCTGTTGCACTTTGCGATTTCTGTGTGCAGGAAACTACACCATGGTTTTCAGTGTGTGGGGCTGCCATTAAGAGGTAATGGCACCCCTGTGTGTTTTCTGTGCAGCTCTGCAACTTTGAGTGCAGGTGTGCGAATGATTGTGATTCACATGCACTCCTGCACCTGCATACATGTGAATGAAGCCTAAAGGTAAAACATAATGGTCACAGCTGGAAAAAGGCCTTAAACATAAATTCCTTGTATTTTTCTTTTTGTTATAGGATTTTAGACTGTAAAACCTTTAATTTACAATGGAAACAAAAAACTTTGTTTCAATACCCGCAGCAAGTTTGTGTGCTGTTCTACATCCACATTTGATCATCTTTTCTGTTGGACCACATCTGGAGAAGACAATATGTTACTGATTGTCTTTGAGAAACATGCACATAACTCATATTGGTGCCTACAGCTCCCCAAGGACATTATTTGTGTAATGGATTTGACACATTGTAAGTTCACCTTTTCCAAGAGTGGACTCACTTCCTGAGCCTTGTGTGTTTGATATCTTTTTTTTTTTTTTTTTTTTTTTTTTTTTCCTGGGGCAATCCTGGCCATAGTTGGGCATGACATCACACGGAGTTATGGCTGATTTTTAGATCTTTTTTTATGATTCACTGCTTTGTTGTAATGTTCACAGTCTTGGTTTATAGCTGGGATTCGTTTCATGCAAGTAATGTGGTAGTTTGTCTTGGTCTGTCTTCCCTCAGGTTCATTTGGTGGGCTGTGTTAAACATCTCCTATAGTTTTCTGCTTTGTTTGTAGTTTTTTGGCTTATGTACAGTCTGTGATTTGGCACAGCACTGGCTGCTATTTGTAATTCCTGCGCATACTTAATTGTTAAGCCCATCATTCATCGTAGGACTGAGTTACCAGAAATAAGACTCTTACACCAGCCAAAGCAAAACACCTTTCTCATACCTATTCTGAATTCTTGAGGTCAGGCTCTTAACCTCCAGGTCCAGCACCCATTTTTCATGGTTTCATTTTTGATGCCAAATGTGTTCCGCCCTCTGCCAAGAATCGCAGTGCTGACCCCCAGAAACTGTAGCTGTAAATTTTAATGATATCTAATGTGTTTTCATTTGATTATTGAAAGCAGCTTTGCCGGATTTGGGAACCTGTCTTTGCCTTCCCCTTGTGTGCAGATTTAGTACAAAGTCAGCGCAACGCCTGATAAAGTCAACATAATCAGAAGATTTTTTCACCTAAAATGATTTAACATCGTCAATTAACCACTTGGTTTTATTGCCTCAAAGATTTTTTTTTTTTTTTATGCGTTATGTAACTGCTTTGTAGACCGATCACTTTACAATATGAAGCTGGTTCACCCTATTGTGATATGCCCCCCTCATAATTGTTTGTCTCTTGTTTCAGAGGCCAGTGCTAAAACCAGAGATGGTGTACAGTGTGCCTTCGAAGAACTTGTTGAAAAGATTATTCAAACTCCTGGACTTTGGGAAAGCGAGTCCCATAACAGAGGCGTCAGATTGTCAGATGAAGCTGGTGGCCGAGGAGGAACATGCGGCGGATATTGCTCCATGCTATAAACTAGTTGTACTTTCCTTCTATTTAATCAGAATCTAGTGATACCGGTTTCCTGTATATATAAACTCATTTATGGCTAATCTAGGGACCTTTTCAGTGTGCACATATTTGTATCATGAGGCAGATATTTGTAGAGTTATGTCCAGCAAGCTTGCAGTCAAACAGCGCACGAAACTTTTTGAATTTTTATTAGTGGCCAGCTGCATTAACCAGTGCATTAATTGCAGTGCCACCTGTTCCTGTACTTTTTAACACTTAATCATTACTACACCATTCTAAGCTTTGTGTTCTATGTCTTTTTTTTTGCCCTCCATGCATTGCCTGTCTACCTATTTAGCTGCTTAAAGTGGACCTTCACTCCCAAAAATGGATTTTTACGCTGTGCAACAAAATACAAACCAATCAACCCCCCATTCCCCCCCCACCCACCTCCTCCACCCCACCCACCTCATCCATTCTTGCCTAGGCAAAAATGATGTCCTCCTCTCCCTGTAAAATACTAAGGTGGCTGCAGGAGCAGGGACACAGTGGTTGAAGGGTAGCTGATAACTTGTCATTTGGGGCCTGATGCAACCACCTGGAAGAAACTGCCATCCCTCATTGTAGAGAGCAAAGGTGGTGGCGTGGGGCCTGGCCTTTGGCAGTGGATCATAGCAGCAAATTAAAAGGTTCACTGGAAAGGTTTTTTCTTTTTAATGAAAATGTTGCATAAGAGGAGATAAAAAGACAGAGGGGCAGAGAAGTTCCTCTTTAAATATTTATGAGATCATTGCTGAGACAACCCTGATTCTCACAATATCCTTTTGCTAAATGATGACTAATGTTATAGTATGTAAATGCTTGTACACAGCACACTGATTTCTTGAGAATTTCTCACTTCGTACATGTCTCTTGAGAAGAGAAAGTGATCGAAGGAGTCCTATCAAAGCCATTGGCTTCCTATCGCATGTCAGTCTGTTGAAAGGTCCAGTAAACCTGCTTTAGAGCATGGTTCATGTGAAAGAGCTATAAGTGACATTCACAAAATTTAATTTGTTTTAAGAAAATCCAGCACCTAAAGTGGTCGTAAAGCGCTGACATGAAAAATGAACAAAGAACATCCACTATAGTGTGTATTAACTTGAATCCAAAGTACCAAGTGTGGTTCCTTTCTGATCTTACCTCTGCCTGCATGACTCACTTCCAATAGATTAAGATTAAGCTGATATCACAGCTTCCTGAGAGATACCCCCTCCATCACACAGCAGATGACTCATACCCTCTGCTCTGTTTCTCTGAACCGGAGAAGAGGGACATGCCACTTTACTCCAGTCAGTTCTCAGATTACATATGGCTCTGTGCTCTAACTGTGCAGTGTATGAGATGTCAGATCCCCAACCTCTGCTTTCTGCTGTTGAGAAAAATCTTTTCACCTGTGTGCTGTGGAAGGCTGTACAGGACAAATTGCTATGGATAAAGAGGTACAACTATGTAGGAGGATTTGTTTTATAGATGTGCATCATCTGAGTTTAGTCACTTTACTTGGGTATATGTAAGAGTTTACAGCCACTTTAAGTGTTGAATAGAGTGTGAAAGGTTTGATTATCAAGGTAATTTTGGTGCCTGTGTCCCCTTGAGATGTCACTTCCTGTAATGGGGATCTCTAAGCATTGCTGTGAACCAGACTGTTTTCCTTCATTGCTGGAGTATATATTCCTCTATATATTAGAAGATGTCACTAGGGACAGGTGGGTGTCTTTGTTTCCTAAGTGGATTTTCTACAGGAATTTGTTGAATTTTTGGAGAATACATTCTATAGAAAGTATTCTCCAAAAATTCATCTGAAAGTAGTGCCCTTTAGGACTGTGGTAAGAGGGAAGTGGGAAGATATCCTCAACAGTGTCCCGGTCAAAACATTCTCTACTCACTTCATCCATATCAACTTGTAACCTGTAATCCCAGATTTTTTACGTAAATATCTGGGTTTGCCCATTGTTTGCTGATGTAGAAAGGTTCTCCCTCTTGTCTCTCAACTCCCATGGTTTACCAAGATCAAAAGCTGTAATCCAATCTTCGTGTTTAGTGCTACTTGCACCATGTAGCATCTTCTGTGGTTTAAAATGTAAATGTATTATGGTAGCGAGGCAAAAGTATTCCTTCAAGAACTGTATTTGAGAGCAGAGCATGTGTTTTTCTCTCTGCATAGTACTGATCTACAGTATGAGAAACAATTAGATTTCCATGACACTCATAGCCCTAAAATGAAATGTTCTTATCCTAAGAGAAAATCTTTTCTCATACTTAGGTTCTGGTTTGCTGAAAAATTTCTGAGCAAGTGTCTACATTTTATTTTTACATGGTATGCATAGCTATGGCAATACCAAACTATATGTGTCATTAGTAACTCTTTTTATTTCAGACAATTATAGGTCTACTGGAAAATGCTTCTTCATGTTAATGTAACACTAAATTGAATGATATCTTTATATCGCATGTTGTGAAAAGTATTCTTCTCTTCTCCACTTTGTGTGGTTTGCAGTCTTATTACAATAAATGTGGGCAATGACTATAGGGAAAACCTTTTTTTTTTTTTTTTTTTTTTTTATTCCTCCAAGGTTTTTAACCTTTCCATATCAAGAACATGCTGATATGTTCACGAACACTATTGTTGCAAATGGGATACAATTATGTTAAGAAAAACCGTTATTGGTAGTTTTTTTTGATTCAGTTGGTTTGATGCATTTTTATAACAACAATCACATGGACTTGCAGTTTTTTTTTTAATTTAATACCAAAAGCTTTACTCCATTTATCGTACTCAAAATGTTTACACCGTTAAAGACTTACAATGGAACTAGGATTACCTTCAGCTTATTAAGACATATTCCATTTACTGAAAGCACATTCTAACTTATTTGCATTTATGAATAAAACTTCAGATATAACAATATGGATTTCTAAACTTTGTATGGGCTGGCTTTTCTCCTTTTTTGCTTCTCATTTAGTATGTAGCATGTTTATATCAATTCTATTGGTTTATCTACGAAGTTAGCATGCAGACTACTGCTGGTAAACTTTGTACATACAAGATTTCTGTTCATATTGTGTATAAAAAGACTTTTAAATACAAGCATGAATGTGCTTTATATTGCTCTAAGAATACACATCCCTGAAGTTTTTGTTTATTACATAAATTTTTAGTAGTGTGTATAACCTTTTGAATTGAAAATGGTGTGGTTTTGTTTTTCTGCCCAAAGATCACTTTAATGGACAACTTCATGTAATTTAGAGCAGGGCTTGAAATTTACACTCGCCTGCTCGCCAATGGTGAGTGGAAATTATGGGAGGGCGAGTGCCCCCCCAGGGCCGTCTTGCTGAGCAGGCTCGGAGCTCAGGCCGGATCTGGAATTGGCACTGGGAGCCATCAGACTGCTCAATAGCTGAGCGCAGTGAAAGCAAAGGAAGGAGTGTGTGCTGTGCTCTCTGCCTCCCCCTAGAGTGCAGTACCCGGATCTGTGAGTGAGCCACTTTTTATAGGTGTGTGTCTGTGTATGCATGTACAATTGTACATGTGTCTGTGTGTATGTACATGTGCATCTGTACATGTATGTGTGTGTATCTGTATGTGTGTACATGTCTGTGTATGTATGTACATGTGTCTGCATGTGTATTTCTGTACGTGCCAGTGTATGTGTATATACATGTGTCTGTATGTACATGTGTCTCTGTGCGTGCGTGTGTGTACATATCTGTGTGTGTACAGGTGTCTCTGTGTGTGTTTGTTGGTGGCGAGTAACTCTAAGGCCTGGCAAGTAGCTCAGGACTTGAAATTTTAATCCTTGACTTAGAGGGTTAGAATTTGCCATGCATATATGCTGTTTGTGCCCCCTTTCTTTTTCTGTTCTGACACGTCACCTGGACAAGGAGTGAAGGTAAATCTTCCTTATGGGGACACATACAGCATTTAAATCCTGTCAGAGGTTCTTAAAGAGTATGTAAACCCAACATTTCATATTCTTGATATGTGCTTGCTGTACCATGTACGTGTTTGAAAAAGTATCCGATTCACTTTGTTTTGCGTCCTTTGTGAAATTCCTGGTGTTCCTGCCAGTCCCTCTGCTTTCCTAATAAAAACTGACCATGCTAGGCATGATAGCACAGCATGCTCAGTTCTCTAGCTAGGATGGAACTCAGCCTGCTCTCTTCTAATGATCAGACTTGAGCTGACATGCCCACCTCTGCACAGCCATTCACTGGCTGTACTGCTGTTTCTCCTCTCCTAGGTCTCTGAGCTTTTTATACATAATTTGTTTTATAATTTTTTTTTTTTTTTTAATGTGTACATATGGTTTTACCTTTTCACTTCCGTTTTTCGACTGATTGGGTTGTTTAACAAGATGAGGGTTCACATATACTTTAACGTTTTTCACTTTTCTAGAAAACCTTTTTATTGCTGCCTGTGTCACTTTTAAAGGGATTTTGTTTCACTTTCTGATCTGACATCTGTCCAATAATCAGGAAATGGGAGATCTTCTCTCACCTTCTGTTATGTCTTATGCTCCAGAAGGGCCTTTGCTTCCTGTCATGTAAGTGTAAAAAAAAAAAAAAAAAAAAGTAAAGTCCTTGTTAAAGCAGAGTTCCACCTGGGGTAAAAAAAAAGTCGGCAGCTACAAAAACTAGCTGCTGACTTTTAAATTACAGACATCTGTTCCTTGGTCCAGTGGTCTCCTCACCACGGCTGGTTTCACTGGCTGTCTTCTCTCCCTGGCGCCGGCATCTTCACAGCGGGGGGCCCAATGCGCATGTGCGAGAAGCGCTGTGCTTTGTGAATGGCCCTGTAGTCTTCTGGGACCTATCGTGTTCCAGAAGACTACCGTGGGGGGGACTTCTGCTTCTGATCACCTAGGTGATCGCAGCAGAAGTGGGAGCGGGTACCTGTCAAATTCAGGTAACCTCTCCCCAAAGGTGCCAATCCTTAATGGGGAGCGGGGGACAAAGGCTTAAAGAGGAACTTCCCCTTTTG